TCAAATTACATACTGTTGGTGTCATTATGATTGGGAAAAGATTCTCTATCTTTTCATAAAAAAACTAAGTTTTTTTTTTTTTTTTCCGAAAAATTTTCGACCCTGAGAACAAGTTTAGGAGAGGACCTCTCAACCCTGAAAGGGTTAAACCACTCCAGAGCGATTATTTATGTTTTTACGATTATTATTAAATTATTAGTAGTAGTATTTGATTGTTATTATTATTAGGATTTTATGTCATATGAGAACTTGGGTCATGGAAACAGGCAGTGCAGCATCTCAGCATCAAGTATCTTAGTCTGCTTCCTACAACCGAATACACTAGCTTTCACTGTCTCCAAGACTACATATTTGTTCAAATTTGCACTTTATTGTGCATCCCATAGTACAAGATGTCAGCGGAAATGAAGATCTTGATGTCACCTCAAGGAAGCGCCAAGAAACAAAGGAAGGTTCTCAATCTTGAGGTGAAAATGAAGATTATAAACTAGTATGAAGCTGATTAGGAAGTGCAAGTGATAGCTGATGACTTGAAGCTGGCACATTCTACTATTCCCACTATTTTGAATGATAGAGATAGAGTGAAAGAGGCAGTGAAAGCATCGACAGGATTTCAGGCCATAATAACTGGGCAGTGGAAGCATGATAAAGACGCCCAAATTAATAAAAGCTGACATATGGAGAGGTATTGGAGGGTGTGCAGGGCTATATGAGAGAGAGAGGGAGAAGGCACCAGCAGTCTCTCTCAGTAACTCATGCTTCACCATGATGTATGGACTTGTAAGTGCACCGCACTATAAAATATTGTATGATTATATTATTACTATCTGTAAAGGTTATCTACCTATCATATTTATTCCAGAATAATATTAGGTATAACATAAATAGCATAGAAGCATGATAAAGATGCACAAATTAATAAAAACTGACATTATATAGAGAGGTATTGAAGGGTGGAGGGCCAGGAGGGATAAAACTGAATGTTTTAATTTTGGGTGGTGACACTTTTGAAGTGTCCGTAAGGGGTGATTCCTCGATTAGTGATGAAATCGTTTACTGACAGGGTCTTAGGCCCCTAACTTCGTCGTTAAGTGAGGAGAGGCTATTTAATAGGATTCACATTTCTTGCACCTCTTCTACTACAACCTCTCCTCACTTACCAACATACTCGTTTACCGATGGCCCGGACTTACGACAGGCTCACTGATCAGTGTGCATACCTAAATAATGTATATGAGAGCTGATTTGCTCTATTCTGTTTATTACTATATACAGTACAATACTGTATAAACATTTAAAAATATACCAGAAATGTTATAAATGGTGTGAAGGTGACATTAAAACAATATCAGAGATGGTTGACACAAACAGAATTCCTTCATTAACCATTTCACTGTCGATGTCGTATTAGTATGGCTTACAAGCCAGTGTTGGTGCTGTATTAACTCATTCAGGGTCGGTCCCTTATATGTACAGCTTGATAGCCAGTGTCAGTCCCGTATTTATACGTCAAAATTCTAGCACCTTCAAATCTGGTGGAAGAAAGCTGGTAATATGAAAGAATGGGTCTGCATGATCACTGTGCACAGTATAAAAAAAAATCCTGCAGCATGCAGTGCATAATGAAAAATAAAAACTCCATCCGTGTTTTTGGTGTAAAACAGTGACTTTGCAGTATATTTTCTTGTGGTATTTATGGTTGTGATCTCGTTTTCTTGGTCTCGTTTGATAGAATGGAAGATATATTACAGAAATAGAGATGATTTTGATTGCTTTCATGATGAAAAGTACTTTGAAATTGAGCTCAAAATAGAGGAAATTTTTTATTTTTGCCAATGTTCAGTAGTAAACAAATCACACCACACATCCAATATGCGTCAACTGGTGAGTCTAATATTCTTTCACAAGTGCGCTGATATTATTTATACTATTTTTACAATAATGCAATAGTCTTCATAACAGTAAATCTTCTATTTTTTGTTAGAATAAAAATTCAAAATTGAAAGCAAGAGTAATATACATATATGTAAGAAGTGCCTGGAGACATGACTAATGAACAGAGAAAATGTTATTTTAGTGCCAGGAATGTCTGTCTTTTTTATTCCGGACCCTATTTTGAAATTGGCATCTTTTCATATTTGTGTGAAATTGGCCAAATTGCCAATTTCTAACCACTTTATTGGGTAGTTGAAATCACTGAATGGGCTGTTTCTTGTACTCAATCGATAAAACAAATGGAGTTCTAGCGAAATAGCTGTGGGTTTGGTCGACTGGCACAGTGGAATTGGCCGAAAATAGGGTGAATTCACTAATGCGTATATATTGCCAAGACCGCTAAATTCGCAAGGGCATAATTCCGTAAGTATTCCTTCAAATTTCGTACTTTTGGTGTCATTATCATCGGAAAAAGATTCTCTGTCATTTCACTTTTCTTTCTTAAACATTGAGAGCAAGTTTGTGAGCACGGATCTCAGTAGTGAAAGGGTTAAGTGAGGAGAGGCTGCACTTGTCAAAAAAAAAAAAAAATTCTATGCCTGACTACATTCATGAAGTTCTTATTCATTATTGATTTATACCAGTTTCTATATTTTCTGAGCTTCCATCATCTGGTTATATCCTATTTTCTTTTAGTAGTTGGTATATTTTCCTTTGTATTTTTGTGTGGGCTCTAATTCTATAATGTTTTATACTGTAATCTTTTTGAATATGAATTTACTTTCTCCACATTCTATTCAGTCTCTTACAAAAATTCATGTTGCATGCAACCACCAGAAAATCTTGTTATTAATTTATGTGTGTGTCACTTACTGACCTGTGAACACTTCTTATGATACCTGACCTCAATAAACCTATTTTAAGAATTTTGTAATTTCTATACCTGAAGGGATATTCTCATAATGTGTAGTGTACTGTATATTTATTTTTAATTACACATCTAATATTGTAATGTACTGTAATAGTATAATGCTTGCATTTAAATATCAGGAAGGTAATATTGTTGAAAGTAAAAATTAACACTCACTTTGAATCTATTCACATTGAAATTGATTTGTCAACAAGTGGTTGCTCAGTTATCTCAAATAAAAGGAGTTAGGGTGTTAAAGGCATCAAAATTTTGCTCTTTATGGGCCGAAAAAGGGGAGGGAGAGGCAGGAGTGTGTGTGAAGGGTGAATGTGAGAGAGGGAGAGAGAGAGCTAATACACTGAGATATAAAGAAAGTTGAAAGTGAGCATAGACAAGACTACGATGATGAGGGTATCAAATGAATTAAGTAAAGAAAAACTGGATATCACAGTGGAGGGAGGGAGTATGGAAGAAGTGAATGTGTTCACATATTCGGGAGTTGACCTGTCAGCGGATGGGTTTATGAAGGATGAGGTTAACCATAGAACTGATGAAGGAAAAAGGGTGAGTGGTGCATTGAGGCATCTGTGGAGACGAAAGACATTATCCATGGAGACAAAGAAGGGAATGTACGAGAGTAAAATGGTTCCAGTGCTCTTATGTGGGTGTAAAGCATGGGTTGTAAATGTTACAGCAAGGAAGAGGCTGGAGGCAGTAGAGATGTCGTGTCTAAGGGCAATGTGTGGTGTAAATATTATGCAAAGAATTCATAGTGTGGAAATTAGGAGGTGTGAGACTTACTAAAAGTATTAGTCAGAAAAGTGAAGAGGGGTTGTTGAGGTGGATTGGTCATTTAGAGAGGATGGAACAAAGTACAGTGATTTGCAGAGCATATAAATCTGTAGGAAAAGCAAGGCGGGGTAAGGGTTATCCTAGGAAAGGTTGAAGGGAGTGGTTAAAGGAGGTTTTGTGGTCGAAGGGCTTGGACTTCCAGCAAGTGCGCATGAACATGTTAGATAGGAGTGAATGAAGACAAATGATTTTTGGGACCTGATGAGCTGTTGGAGTGTGAGCAGGGTAATATTTTGTGAAGGGATTCAGGGAAACCCTCTAGCTGCACTTGAGTCCTGGAGGTGGGAAGTACAATGCCTGCACTTTAAAGGAGAGTTTTGGGATACTGGCTGTTTGGAGGGACATCTAAACTGTCGTATCTGAGCACCTCTGCAAAGACAGTGATTATGTATGATGGTGAAAGCGTCGAAAATGATTGTGTAAATTTTTTCCTTGCTTTCTTTTTGGGTCACCCTGCCTTGGTGGAAAACAGCTGACGTGTTAAAAAATTTTTTTTATTAAAATTTGATTAGTCTTACCTTAGTTAATATCACTTTTTGTATTATTTTGTTAGGTGATCACTGCTTTTAGGAATTTTGCTGCAACTTCCTTTCAATTAACAAATAGGCAGACTAATGGGTCATTTTTAAATGAACTGCAAATTGGGCAGCCTACCATGATTCCGCATGAACAAAGGCTGGATAATTGAGCATCCATTGAATCTATTTTATCTTTTTAAACTATTGTACTATAATTTGTAGAATTTTTCCAGTTTTTTATTGTCTTCAATATAAATAAATTTTATGGTAAGTACATTCTAGTTACTGAAATGAGAGTCAGGTCATTAATCTGAACCAGTAAAAAACTATAATTATATATATTATGTTGCTTTTATCCAGTTTGTAATGAAGCACAGTAAATATTTTGTTGTGTTTAAGCCTGAGTAATATATTTACTACTGTATTGAGCCTTTCTACTAATATAGGTCTTATATATATATTGGCAATTTTATTTCCTAAAGTATGCATTTCAGCTGCCTTTCCACTTCCAGATATATGAAAGATTAAAGTAACTAGTTTGCCTTCTATATTAATACAGTAGTAGAAGTTCTTGGTAAAAATGATATTTTCATATTTGCTATGAGTAATATATTATCATTTAGCTTACATTGAAATCATAAATGGTCACATGTTCCATTTACCACTACCTAAATAATAGAAGAGTTCTTAATTAATAAAAATCACTGTTATATGTAATTCCAGTTAATGAATGTGTAAAACCTCATTTGATTGTGGCACCTAATATTGCTTGTCTGTTTTGACAGCTGTCTGGGCGCATGGATCACCTAGTCATTGAGCAAGACTTCAACTCTGTAGTGTCAGTTCTTGAGGCAGAGCTCCGCCCACTGGTTTCAGCAGAACTTTCGGTCCTGGTGGACATTCTTTATCAGCCACATAAGCTGTTCAGACCGGACAGTGAAGCTAGCATAAAGTGTAAAAATGGTGGCTTTATTTCTAGGTAATTGTGTACAGTTGTGTTTAATAAAAGCTTTTCCTTCTGAATTAGAAACAATAAGGTAAATAATAGACAGCTGTTGATTAAGCATTGTAGATTAGAATTTTATTTGCAATACATATAATAATTTTCTGCTATCTGTATTGTATATAAAGGTGTGAACAAGGTTGTCATTTTGTGTATGTAAATTAGTATTATTTGAATGTTTATTTATAGGAGGACACCATTTATATGGCGGGTTAGGTTCCAGGCTACTGCCGCAAAGCGGAAATCACCGTAAGGCAAATCTCAGGGCATTTAAAGTGCCTAACAGCCTTTTTTTTTTTTTTCCAACGAACTGGTCATATCCCACTGAGGCAGGGTGACCTAAAAAGAAAAATGAAAGGTTTACTTTTTAAATTTGGTAATTCATACAGGAGAAAGGGTTAATAGACCCTTGCTCCAAGCATTTTAGTTGCCTCTTATGACACATGGCTTACAGAGAAAGAATTCTTTTCTGCTCCCTGTGGAACTGACAGGGTCATGACAAATATTATTATTATTATTATTATTATTATTATTATTATTATTATTATTATTATTATTATTATTATTATTGTTGTTGTTGTTATTATTAGAGGTACCAGTAGGTAAATTTGGGGTGCTAGGGGCAAACGAAAATGGGGAGCCATTAATTGAACTATGTGTAGAAAGAAGTTTGGTAATAAGTAATACATATTTTATGAAAAAGAGGATAAATATACAATATGTGATATAGGATGTAATGAAAGTAGTTTGTTAGATTATGTATTGGTGGATGAAAGGTTGATGGGTAGGCTTCAGGATGTACATGTTCATAGAGGGGCAACGAATATATTGGATCATTATCTAGTTGTAGCTACAGTTACGGTAAGAGGTAGATGGGACAAAAGGAAAATGGCAACAGTAAGTAAGAGAGAAATGAAAGTTTCTAAACTAAGGAAGGAGGAAGTTCGAGTGAAATATAAGCAACTATTGGCAGAAAGGTGGGCTGGTGCAAATATGAGTAGTGGGGGGTGGGGGTTGAAGAGGGCTGGAAAAGTTTTAAAAATGCAGTATTAGAATGTGGGGCAGAAGTTTGTAGTTATTGGAGGGTGGGTGCAGGAGGAATGAGGAGTGATTGGTGGAATGATGAAGTGAAGGGTGTGATAAAAGAGAAAAAGTTAGCTTATGAGAGGTTTTTACAGAGCAGAAGTGTTATAAGAAGATTAGAGTATATGGAGAGTAAAAGAAAGGTGAAGAAAGTGGTGAGAGAGTGCAAAAGGAGAGCAGATGATAGTGTGAGAGGCACTGTCAAGAAATCTTAATGACAATAAGAAAAAAATTTGGAGTTAAGCAAGTTAAGAAAGCCTAGGGAACGAATAGATTTGTTAGTTAAAAACAGAGTAGGGGAGTTAGTAGATGGGGAGATGGAGGTTTTGGGTAGATAGCGAGAATATTTTGAGGAACTTTTAAATGTCGACGAAGAAAGGGAGGCGGTAATTTCATGCACTGGCCAGGGAGGTATACCATCTTTTAGGAGTGAAGAAGAGCAGGATGTGAGTGTGGGGGGAGGTGCGTGAGGCATTACGTAGAATGAAGGGGTAAAGCACCTGGAACTGACGGGATCATGACAGAAATGTTAAAATCAGGGGGGGATATAGTGTTGAAGTGGTTGGTATTATTGTTTAGTAAAAGTATGAAAGAGGGGAAGGTACCTAGAGATTGGTGGAGAACATGTATAGTCCCTCTATGTAAAAGGAAGGGGGACAAAAGAGATTGTAAAAAATATAGAGGAATAAGTTTACTGAGTATACCAGGAAAAGTGTACGGTAGGGTTATAATTGAAAGAATTAGAGGTAAGACAGAATGTAGGATTGTGGATGAGCAAGGTTTTAGAGTGGGTAGGGGATGTGTAGATCAAGTGTTTACATTGAAGCATATATGTGAACAGTATTTAGATAAAGGTAGGGGAGTTTTTATTGCATTTACGGATTTAGAAAAGGCATATGATAGTGGATAGGGGAGCAATATGGCAGATGTTACAAGTATATGGAATAGGTGGTAAGTTAGTAAATGCTGTAAAGAGTTTTTTGAGGATAGTGAGGCTCAGGTTAGGGTGTGTAGAAGAGAGGGAGAATACTTCCTAGTAAAAGTAGGTCTTAGACAGGGATGTGTAATGTCACCATGGTTGTTTAATATATTTATAGATGGGGTTGTAAAAGAAGTAAATGCTAGGGTGTTCAGGAGTGGGTTGGGATTAAATTATGGGGAATCAAATACAAAATGGGAATTGACACAGTTGCTTTTTGCTGATGATACCGTGCTTATGGGAGAGACTAAAGAAAAATTGCAAAGGTTAGTGGACGAGTTTGGGAGTGCATGTAAAGGTAGAAGTTAAAAGTGAACATAGAAAAGAGTAAGGTGATGAGGGTATCAAATGATTTAGATAAAGAAAAATTGGATATCAAATTGGTTAGGAGGAGTATGGAAGAAGTGAATGTTTTTAGATGTTTGGGAGTTGACGTGTCAGCGGATGGATTTATGAAGGATGAGGTTAATCATAGAATTGATGAGGGAAAAAAGGTGAGTGATGCATTGAGGTATATGTGGAGACAAAAAATGTTGCCTATGGAGGCAAAGAAGGGAATGTATGAAAGTATAGTAGTACCAACACTCTTATATGGGTGTGAAGCTTGGGTTGTGAATGCAGCAGCGAGGAGGCGGTTGGAGGCAGTGGAGATGTCCTGTCTAAGGGCAATGTGTGGTGTAAATATTATGCAGAAAATTCAGTGTGGAAATTAGAAGAAGTTGTGGAGTTAATAAAAGTATTAATCAAAGGGCTGAAGAAGGGTTGTTGAGGTGGTTTGGTTATTTAGACAGAATGGATCAAAGTAGAATGACATGGAGAGCGTTTAAATCTGTAGGGGAAGGAAGGCGGGGTAGGGGTCGTCCTTGAAAAGGTTGGAAGGAAGGGGTAAGGGAGGTTTTGTGGGTGAGGGGTTTGGACTTCCAGCAGGCGTGCATGAGCATGTTCGATAGGAGTGAATGGAGATGAATGGTATTTGGGACCTGACGATCTTTTGGAGTGTGAGCAGGGTAATATTTAGTGAAGGGATTCAGGGAAACCGGTTATTTTTATATAGCCGGACTTGAGTCCTGGAAATGGGAAGTACAATGCCTGCATTCTAAAGGAGGGATTTGGGATATTGTCAGTTTGGAGGGATATGTTGTGTATTTTTATATGTATATACTTCTGAACTGTTGTATTCTGAGCACTTCTGCAAAAACAGTGATTATGTGTGAGTGAGGTGAAAGTGTTGAATAATGATGAAAGTATTTTCTTTTTGGGGATTTTCTTTCTTTTTGGGTCACCCTGCCTCGGTGGGAGACGGCCGACTTGTTAAAAAAAAAAAAATACTGTATTGTACATAACTACTCTGGTGTTGGACTAGAGAAAACATAATTGTTGCCATAATTCCTGTAAGCTGCTCAGCTACCACATCTCATATTTATGTCAGTTTGTTCTAATATGCTTGTACATATTGTGTTTGTGATATGTAGCATGTTTCTTATATAATTTTGAAAAAATAACATAGATTGATTAATAAAAGTCTATATTAACCCCTTCAGTGTCCAAGGCCAAAATCTGAAGTGGTGCTGCACCCAGTGTCCAAGAAATTTTGAAAAAAAAAAAATTATTTTTTCTTAGAGAATTAAAGAGCATATTTTTGTGAAGGTAATAAGACAAAAAAAAAATTCTGATCAGTACTTACCGAGATACAGTGCCAAGAAGTTTGTCAGAAATGATGTGGTGGCGGCAACATCGACGAATTCCACATACGCACATTACATTATTTAGCGGTTTTTTAAGTTTTTTCTTTTCTTTTCCAATTTTTTTCTTTTTCCTACTAACATTTGGGGCCTGGGAGACCAATACTGAATATAATGTATATATATAAACTCACTAGTGGTATTGAACACAATAACAGCACTAAAGTTATTATCATTTTATTGTTTACCACTGTTGTTTATTACAATAAACATGCACAAATCTTGTATAATACTAATGTTCTATCATATATTTACATATTTACAATCACTGGACATGGTTTTAGAACTGCTGGAGCTTGTGGAACTCCTTGAAACAAGGCACCATGCACAGAGGCACCTTACATTCCTCACACATAAACCGAGTGTCTTGCGTCTTTGTTGCCGTCGTTTTGTTTGTGCCCAGACGATGCATCTCTTCTGAGCAAATTTCTTCTGAGTTGAAGGAAGCTGTATTATGAAATGATCACCTTCCCTCCTCAAACGCTTGGGTATATCCTGAGGAATTCGAGGACCTTGTTGTATAGCAGGTGTTCTTACCTGGTACTTCATTATGAGTTGTCTGACAACAGACAGACAAAATTCACCATACGGTGGTCTGTTGCCAGTCTTTATTTGGTACATATTATATGCATTGAGCATAGAAATGTCCATGAGATGGAAGAAAAGTTTCATGTACCACTTGTAACTCTTACGAACACAGTCAACAAAACCAATCTGCATGTCACATTTGTCAGCCAAGTGCATGTTTTGTGTATAATCAATCACTGTCACTGGTTTTCGAATACGTTCATTAGTCACTCGATCAACTTTGCCACTGTCTTGCATTTCATTACGGTGAATAGTTGTCAACAATGTGACATCTCGTTTGTCATGCCACCGTAATGCCATGATGTCATTGGCAGTAAACACCTGCACGTCATCACCACGAGCACCTGAGTTGAGCCTGGGCATATGTTTACGATTAGAACGCACTGTGCCACACACATCTGTCTTGTTCACTCGCATGAAATCACTGAGTAATGGGCTTGTGTACCAGTTATCGGTATATAATGTATGCCCCTTACCAAGATAAGGTGCCATCATGTTTCTCACTACGTCACCTGAGATACCCAATAACATCTTGGTATCTTTCAATGTTTTACTTCCCGTGTATACAACAATATCCAACACCA